GTGGTGGAGTCACCATCCCTGGAGGGATGTAAAAGCCGGGCAGACGTGGTGCTGAGGGACATGGGTCAGTGGTGGGTTGATGGTTGGACTCCATGATCTCAAAGGTCCCTTCCAACTGAGATGATTCCATGATTCTACGATTCCATGAGTCTCTATCCTCTCCACCTGAAGGCATCTCTCCTACCGAGAGATGGTTTAACCCTGCCTGGTTTTCCCTTTCCCTCCCCCAGAGCTCTTCAGCATGTCCCTCAACGCCAAGACCAAGGTGCGAGGCCTGATTGAAATCATCTCCAACGCTGCCGAGTACGAGAACATCCCCATCAGGCACCACGAGGACAACTTGCTGCGGCAGGTGAGCGACGTTGGGGACAGCTAACGGGTTCCTGCAGGGTCAGGGGAAGGAATTTATCCCTGCTTTTGGACTAAAACGCTGCTGGCTTTATCCTTTCTCCTTGTAGCTGGCCCAAAAAGTCCCCCACAAGTTGACCAACCCCAAATTCAACGATCCCCACGTCAAGACCAACCTCCTGCTGCAGGCTCACTTGTCCCGCATGCAGCTGAGCGCCGAGCTGCAGTCCGACACCGAGGAGATCCTCAGCAAGGTAGGAGTTGAGATGGGTGCCACCACCCTGCGCACGTGTGTCACCACCCCGTGTCATCACCACCTCCTCACCCTTCCCCGTCCCTTCTCTCCAGGCCATCAGGCTCATCCAGGCTTGCGTGGACGTCTTGTCCAGCAACGGGTGGCTCAGCCCGGCGTTGGCCGCCATGGAGCTGGCTCAGATGGTGACCCAGGCCATGTGGTCCAAGGATTCCTACCTCAAGCAGCTCCCTCACTTCACCTCCGAGCACATCAAGCGCTGCACGGACAAGGTAAAAACTCCTGGAAGAGACACGGTCGTTGACCATGTCCTCTCCAACGAGGATCCCGGGGCTGAAAATGTCACCTTTGCAGGGGGTGGAGAGCGTTTTTGACATCATGGAGATGGAGGATGAGGAGAGGAACGCCCTGCTGCAGCTCTCGGACGCTCAAATCGCCGACGTGGCTCGATTCTGTAACCGTTACCCCAACATCGAGCTCTCCTACGAGGTGGTGGAGAAGGAGAGCATCCGCAGGTGAGGTCCTCCCACACCCCTGTCACCATCACGGGGTGGGGGTGACACCCCTCTGACCCTGGGTCCTGGTTCTCCCCACGCAGCGGTGGGCCCGTGGTGGTGCTGGTGCAGCTGGAGCGTGAAGAGGAGGTCACCGGACCTGTCATCGCTCCCCTTTTCCCCCAGGTAAGGACCAAAGTGGGTGACACTGGTGGGGCAGAAGTTCTCCCAGCCTGTTAACCGACCCGTTTCCTGCTCAACCAACTTGATCTATGTCCATGTCACCCGCCTTCTCGACGCGGAGAAGGCTGTGGACATTGTCTACCTGGGCTTTGGGAAGGCCTTTGATGCTGTTCCTCACAGCCTTCTCCTGGAGAAGTTGGAGAACCATGGCATAGACAAGTGTCCTCTCCACTGGGTGAAAAACTGGCTGGATGGAGAGTTGGATCCCAACGTGGATCCAATGGGAGTTAATCCCAACGTGCCCGGAGAGTTGGGATTAACGGGGTGAGATCCAGTTGGTGGATCCAGTTGATGGCCAGTCACCACTGGTGTCCCTCAGGGCTCGGTTTTGGGGCCAGTCTTGTTTAATATCTTTATTGATGATCTGGTTTGAGGGGATTGAGTGCACCCTCAGTGAGTTTGCAGATGACACCAAGTTGTGTCAGGTCGGTGCTGGTCTCCCCCATCAGCAAAACCACCTTCTTACTGGAATTTCTCCTACCAGTCCATGAAAACCTACCAAAAAGGCAAGGGATGCTGTTTGTTCCTGGAATTTCTCCTACCAGTCCATGAAAACCTGCCAAAATGCTGTTGTTAACCTCAAAAAAACCCTCCTACCAAAAAGGCAAGGGATGCTGTTGATAACCTCAAAAAAACCCTCCTAAAAACCTACTGAATCCCTGAAAAGAAGCAGGGAAAGTGAAAGAGGGGGTGAGGAAGGAAATCTAAGAGAAAGTAAGGCTTAGATCTCCCCAAGGTGAATGGAGTTAAATCCAGTTGGTGGGTGGTCACCAGTGGTGTCCCCCAGGGCTGGGTGTTGGGGCCGGTTCTCTTTAACATAGAATAAAAAAATAAAAATCATAGAATGATATGGGCTTGGAAGGGACCTCTGGAGATCGTCAAGTCCAACCCCCCCACATCATTATCATCAACATCATTATCAATGATCTGGAGGAGGGTATGGAGTGCACCCTCAGTCAGTTTGCAGATGACACCAAGTTGGGTGGGAGTGTCAACCTGCTGGAGGGTAGGAAGGCTTTGCAGAGGGATCTGGACAGGCTGGATGGATGGACCAAGGTCAACGAGATGAGGTTCAACAAGGCCAAGTGTTGGGTCCTGCCCTTGGATCCCACCAACCCCCTGCAGCGCTCCAGGCTTGGGAAAATGTGGCTGGAGCAGAAAAGGACCTGGTGGTGTTGGTGGACAGCCAACATGAGCCAGCAGTATGCCCATGTGGCCACAAAGGCCACCAGCATCCTGGCTTGGATCAGGAACAGCGTGGCCAGCAGGAGTAGGGCAGTGATGGTTGGACCAGATGATCTTAAAGGTCCCTTCCAAGCCAGACAATTCAATGATTCCATGATGGTGCCTCTGGACTGGGCACTGGTGAGGGCCCCTCACTCCAAGAAGGACATTGAGGTGCTGGAGCATGTCCAGAGGAGAGCCACCAAGCTGGGGAGGGGTCTGGAGAACAAGTCACATGAGGAGAGGCTGAGGGAACTGGGCATGTTGAGTTTGGAGAAGAGGAGGCTGAGGGGAGACCTCATTGCCCTCTACAGCTCCCTGAAAGGAGGGTGTAGAGAGGGTGGTGGCATCTTCTCCCAAGAGAATAATGACAGGAGCAGAGGAAATGGTCTGAAGTTGGGGCGGGGGAGGGTTAGATTAGATATTGGGAAGAATTACTAATTACTAATTCTTCTGAGAGAGTGGTCAGGCACTGGAGCAACCTGCCCAGGGAGGTGGTGGAGTCACCATCCCTGGAGGTATCTAAGAAACGTGTAGAGGTGGCACTTGAGGGCACGTTCTAGTGCCTGGGATTGTGGGGTTGTGTTTGGAGGGGCGGAATTTGGGTTTTTTTGGGTTTGTTGGGGTTTTTTTTGTGGTTGGACTCCACCATCTCAAACGTTGACCTCTTCTCTCCGGCAGAAACGCGAGGAGGGTTGGTGGGTGGTGATCGGCGACTCCAAATCCAACAGCCTCATCTCCATCAAGCGCTTGACGCTGCAGCAGAAAGCCAAGGTGAGAGAGATGGTTTTTGGGATGGGATGGGGGGGGGTGATTCCTGCTCTTCCTAACGTTGGGAATTCCTCGCCCTGGGGGTGTAGGTGAAGCTGGATTTCGTAGCCCCGGCCACGGGGACGCACAATTACACCCTCTACTTCATGAGCGACGCCTACATGGGCTGCGACCAGGAGTACAAATTCAGCGTCGACGTCAAGGAGGCGGAAAGTGACAGCGATTCCGACTGAGGGGAGAAACCCAACACACCCCCCCCCAGCTAATTAAGGCTTGGTGGCTGTTTCTAGGGGTGCTAGACAAGTCCTGTGCTGTGTCCCGAAGTCCCAACTTTTGGGGCAGAAGAGGTTTTAGGCAGGAGCAGCTGGAATAAATCTTTGAGACCCATCTTGGTGTGTTGGGGGGAGGAAATTTGGGAGGGGGGGGGGAAGGAAACACAACCACCCCCTCTTTGCTACTCACCCAGTAGCTCTGTGGGGCTCGCAAAGGTTCGTTAGCAGAGCTAATTAAGGCTTGGTGGCTGTTTCTAGGGGTGCTAGACAAGTCCTGTGCTGTGTCCCGAAGTCCCAACTTTTGGGGCAGAAGAGGTTTTAGGCAGGAGCAGCTGGAATAAATCTTTGAGACCCATCTTAGTGTGTTGGGGGGAGAAAATTTGGGAGGGGGGGAGGGAAACAAAACCACCCCCTCTTTGCCCCCCCCAAGTCACCCAATAGCTCTGTGGGGTTCACAAAGGTTCGTTAGCAGAGCTAATTAAGGCTTGGTGGCTGTTTCTAGGGGTGCTAGACAAGTCCTGTGCCCTCTCCCAAAGTCACCCAGATCCCCTGGGCGTCCCAAAGTCCCAACTTTTGGGGCAGAAGAGGTTTTAGGCAGGAGAAGCTGGAATAAATCTTTGAGACCCATCTTGCTGCGTTGGGGGGAGGAATTTTGGGGGGGGCTAGAGGCACAACCACTCCCTCTTTGCCCCCCCAACTCACCCAGTAGCTCTGTGGGGCTCGCAAAGGTTCGTTAGCAGAGCTAATTAAGGCTTGGTGGCTGTTTCTAGGGGTGCTACACCCGCAGGAGGGGATCAAAATGCCCCCCCCTTGGGCTATGTTTCACCCTGAGGGGTAAAATCAGCCCCCTGAGGGGTAAAATCAGCCCCCTGAGGGGTAAAATCAGCCCCCCCGGGGGGTCTCTCTGCTCCTCTGGCTCTGGGGGAAGCAGGGACCCCCTTCCCCTCACCCTGGGGGGGACGGGTGCGTCGGTGACGGCACCGCAAGGAGGACCAGAGGCTTTGAAGGGGAAAAATGTGGATTTATTGAGGGGGGGGCGAGTCCTGTGCCCTCTCCCAAAGTCACCCAGATCCCTAGGGATGGGTCCTGGGCATCCCAAAGTCCCAACTTTTGGGGCAGAAGAGGTGGGTCACCATCGTTCCTGCCCCCTTCTCCACACCAAAGGCCCCAGCTGGTGGAGAAGAGGATTCTGAAGGGGCTGGTGGAGAAGGGAGGATCCCAAAGACCCCGGCTGGTGGAGAAGGAAGGATTCTGGAGGAGCTGGTGGAGAAGGGAGGCTTCTGGAGGAGCTGGAAGTTCTCAGCAGACTTCGGGGCGCTGGTACCTCCAGAAGGCGATGTCCCCGTCGTCGCTGCAGGAGGCCAACAGACCCGGCTCCTTGGGGTTCCAGGCCACGCAGTTGACGTCCTGCGAGTGCGCCCGGGGGACGTGGGCAGCCAGGCTGAAGGTGGGCTGCTGTGGATGCGAGGAGGAAGAGGAGGAGGAGGAAGCCACCGTACTCTCCTCGAAGACCCGGATGGCGTCGTCCCCGCAGGCGGTGGCCAGCGCCCCGGTGAGGTGGCACCTAAAGAGGGGAGAGAGGTGGTCACCCCAAGGTGCCAGAGGGAGATGAAAAGGGGGAGGTGGGTCCTCTCTCTACTCACCACGCCACGTCGTAGATGGTCCTGGTGTGGTAGCCAGAGAGGTTGCAGACACACTTCCAGGTGGGGTCATTGCCACTGCAGGCCACCCCTGGGGTGGGCAAGAGAATCGTTAGGGCTACTTAATCACAGAATCACAGAATCTTCTAGGTTGGAAGGGACCTTAAGCTGGAATAAATCTTGAGACCCATCTTGCTGTGTGGGGGGAGAAAATTTGGGAGGGGGGGAAAGGAAACACAACCACCCCCTCTTTACTACTCACCCAGTAGCTCTGTGGGGCTCGCAAAGGTTCGTTAGCAGAGCTAATTAAGGCTTGGTGGCTGTTTCTAGGGGTGCTAGACAAGTCCTGTGCTGTGTCCCGAAGTCCCAACTTTTGGGGCAGAAGAGGTTTTAGGCAGGAGCAGCTGGAATAAATCTTTGAGACCCATCTTGGTGTGTTGGGAGGAGAAAATTTGGGGGGGGGGGGGAAGGAAACACAACCATCCCCTCTTTGCTACTCACCCAGTAGCTCTGTGGGGCTCGCAAAGGTTCATTAGCAGAGCTAATTAAGGCTTGGTGGCTGTTTCTAGGGGTGCTAGACAAGTCCTGTGCTGTGTCCCAAAGTCCCAACTTTTAGGGCAGAAGAGGTTTCAGGCAGGAGCAGCTGGAATAAATCTTTGAGACCCATCTTAGTGTGTTGGGGGGAGAAAATTTGGGAGGGGGGGAGGGAAACAAAACCACCCCCTCTTTGCCCCCCCCAAGTCACCCAATAGCTCTGTGGGGTTCACAAAAGTTCATTAGCAGAGCTAATTAAGGCTTGGTGGCTGTTTCTAGGGGTGCTAGACAAGTCCTGTGCCCTCTCCCAAAGTCACCCAGATCCCCTGGGCGTCCCAAAGTCCCAACTTTTGGGGCAGAAGAGGTTTTAGACCATCGTTCCTGCCCCCTTCTCCACACCAAAGGCCCCAGCTGGGGGAGAAGAG